CTATATATGGAAGTAAAAAAAGTACCTAGTTATATGTATTTTTAATTCAAGAATAAATCTGAATTAAAAAATTTCAGGTTTTAAGTAAAATAATTTTATCTTCTATAAAAACTATTTCAACTTTTTTCCTCGAAATTGTAATTTCGGAGCTTCAAAATAATTTTACGTGCAAGTATAGTTCTAAATATATGACTTAGATCAAAAATAGATTAAATACTATCAATTTATATAATTACTAATCACTCTTTTTTGATTTTGTCACATGTACAGTTATCTCACCACTAAATAATTCAGAGTTAGAACCAAACAAGGGTAAGGATGCAGACTCAAATTCAGACGAAGAATCATTTAAAAAAGTTTTATTAACTTTACATCGTTTTTTACCTTTACATAATATATTGTGTCTTTTAATAATATCTAAGTTTACTATCAAATTTATAATATTTTGTTGAATCTCAGATTTTACTATCTTCAGTAATTTACAGAGAGATATTTGAATTTCTTTATATAGTATTTGTCTGACAAGATCTATCATTAATTCAAGATGAAATTTCAACTATTTTCAAGTTTAACTCTTTTGCTTTTTTATATGTAATGGTTAAATACTATCCATCTGAATCATAAACCACTTCTGTATCCCTACCATTACTGATATGTGTTTTAGCACTAGCTTCACTATTGATATTTTTTTCATTAATTCTATTACTGATGTGATTTTATCATTATTCTCTTATAGACCCTTTGGATCATAGCTTTGTAATAAATTTTGATTAACTGGTTTAATATTGTTATTAGCTTTGACTATTGTATATTTTGAATTAATTTTTACTAATACAAAGTAAAAAATACATTATTAAATATATAATTATAATAAAATATCATAATGAGAATTTTATTTTGCAAAATTAACAAAATACCAGTTAAAGCTATATTAGATTCAGGTGCTAATTACAATGTTATAGGTGAGAGGACAGTAAATGGATTAGATTTAAAAATCAATAATACCTCCAATGTAAAAGTATACAATCCTATTAGCAAATTTGATATAGTAGTGATAATTCATGAAATAGAGATTTCAATTCTGTCTCAAGGTCCTAAATAGAAACAAGTAAAAGTTACTGATATTTTTGTTGTTAATACTTCTGAATCCATACTGATATTAGGTCAGCTATAGTTTTAGGAAAATGTGATAAAAGTTGATTTTACCAATAAAACTCTTATATTGCTCAATGAAACTAGTTGCGAGGTTGAGTGCAATTGAAAATATTTGAAAAATAAATACTATACGTGTTTAAAAATAATTATTCAAACATTGGATTTTTTCCAATTAAAGATATATAATATATATTAGTTGAGAATGGCATAACTAAATATTTTTAATTTATCCAAAATATTAGAACAGATCTTATATTTTTTAGAAATCAATTGATCCATTTATTCCACTTTATTTGTTAACTACTTTTGGTATCATTGCAGTACTCTGATTCTATAGTGATACATTGAATTTTTACAGAAGATCATCAGAAGAAATAGTGTGATTGAAAGATGTCTCAAGCTCTTGCTCAATAATTGATAAACTTTAAAAAAGTTATGTATTAAAAGATAAAGTTAACCTATTATTTCAAAATGGTATATTTCAGATTGGAAAGTTTAAAAATCTCAGATGTATTGATTAGTGTGATTCTACACTCATGTTCAGATATATGCACTCTTATTCTTGATCAAAGTGATAATTTTTCTAATATACCAATTATAGAAATTACAAGATTTTCTTATAGCATCTGAATCTTAACTCATGTATATGTCTCACTAATCGATATATTATTGAAATAACATGTTCTTGTTTAAAACTTAAACATCTTGAGCTTGGCAACTGTTTGATTGGTAATGAAGCTATCAAGGAGATAACCTGCAACTGTACTAATTTGAAATATTTTAGTTTGAAGAGATGTAAAAGGATTAGCAAAATCCTAAAATTAAAATCAAATATTTTAATTATTCAGATGATAAATGGTTCAGTTCTCATTCATCTCTACATTTTTCAATCTTTAAAGATCTATTATTAGATAGAACAGATTTTATTTCTGCAATTAATAATTATATTAGAGAGACTGGTATAATTATTCCTAATTGTCAATTGTGAATTATAAACAATTACATTTAATAGTTCCATCCTTGGAATTTCTTGACAAGGACTTTAGGATAGATAATTAATTATTAGTTATTTTTTGATTGGATATATAGACCGTGTCTGCAAAGCAATACATAATATAAATTATTTATCATGAAAGCATGAAAGTAAAGATAGTCAAAGCTAAAGTCAGATCACGAAAAGTTAATTGTCACCTTGGACCAGAATTTCTCATTCCTTCCATGTGTAGTGATAAGCTTCTTAAGAGGATCAGTGATAAAATTAGTAGAAAGTTGACTTCCAAAAAGAAAAATAGTAAATTCATCAGAAAAGAATTCATAGCTCCACTTGAATTGGCTGTACTTTACTTCTAATGTAATAAGCAATCATCACCTTAGTAATTATAAATCCATCACAATCCTGACTGAAGTACTTGTAGAGAAATATGACCCTAAAACATCTAATTATATCCTGCTTGGCAATAATTGGTTCTATGGTTGAAGCAGAATTAATGATAAAATCAAATATTATTTATCAGAAATAGTGACAGATGTAAAAAATGCTTTTGTAAGAACTACATTGTGTATCAAAGATCTCAGCAGATCTGAGGTGGCTAAAATCAAAAAGAAGTTAAGAGTTATAGTATCTGTTAATAAAAGAGATATTCATGATTTTTATAAAATACTTCTTGGGGAATTGAAAGATTCAGTACCCCGCAAATCAAATATCTCTGCAACTTCTGATTCAGGCACTTTCCATTTTGATTTTTCTTCCAATTCAGATACTTCAGATTCAAGTAGTTTTTCCATATCTAGTTCAGAATCAGAAGATAAGCACATATATAAGACTTATAAAACTGTGGCTGTTATATATCTGAAGCGATGTCACAAAGTAAAAAAGAAAAATTAATTATTGAGTTATATCAACTGTACTAGCTTCGTTAAAATAATGCAATAGTTAATATATGTGATAACCAACTTATCATACATGATAATTTTGCAATCCCTATAATGAGAAAAGAGTTTATACTGGTATAAGATGTTGAGTAGCAACAATTACTCGAATGTACACACCAAATTTGAATCGAAAGAATGGATGTATATATGTTAGTATGGCTAAGTCTCAAAATAACAAATGCAAAATGATGGATAAATTTACTGACAGTCCATCTCAGTATATAAAATCTGCTTAATCCAAATAAATATAAATAACATACAATCCAGAGAATAGCTTTGTGATAGTTGAAAATAAAAGTAAGGGAAGTACAGTAGGAGTGTTCGATTATACTGAATTATATATATATTTGAAATTGCATCATCCGACACTCCTATAATTTCATTTTGTAGTAAGATATTTTAACTGCATTTATAAACCACGATCATGGCGTGAGCTGACATAAAGTGCTGATAATCTGATTTTTTACATATGACGTAACACGTTACCATTGCCCGTGACGTGTATGAAATAGGGTCATATACATGGGAATTGTCAATTATCGGCGATATATGCACATGATTTTATAGGTGAGCAATCACCCGATGCACATAAATAGTCATTTATTGCAATCGCTAATAATCTATTGTCTTGATTTAATATGAGATGTGAAGAACCAATGCCATGGATCGTTGATACTGGATTTTAATCTATAAAAACATGTCAAAATTGGTGAGTCTCGGGTAAAAAATCAAGTTGCAAAATAATCATTAAAGCCATCATTGAACAATTGCACCTCATTCAAACTGTCAATTAATCAATTTATCAATTGTGAAATAAATAACCACGAAAAATGCAACTCAACATTTCCAATATTTTTTTATTTGCGATTTTCATTGCTGTAATCATAATCTACGAACTATATAACCGGGACGTCTTAACAGCGGAGATGATTTATTCCGTCATCCCCGAAAATTCAATAATATATATAATTATCACCGTAGTATTTATTTATCTACGAAAAACTGTAACTCCATCTCCAATCCCAAATCCACCTTCGATCCCAACACTAACTCCGACCTCAATTCCAATTCTCACTACGTTGGATGTGAATATAAAAGAATTAAAATTAGACATGTTGGCATTAAAAAATGATCATGCAAGGATAGAAAAAGATTTGGAATGGAGAAGTGAAGTCAGAAGTCAAGGTTAGTATCACATTATGTGTCAGCTGGAAGTTGGTTTACACCAAGACACTAGCTTCACTATAAACTTAACAAGTATTTCAGATATCTATTAACACATATTCCATATCCAGGACACGTATCCGTACAAAGTCACATATCTGAATATCCCAAAGGAACTCAAACTCTCTGGGTCGAATTTATCACGATTTTTAATGAAAGGAGAAAAAGAGAGAAACGCTTTCCCACAAAATTATACAATGTTATATCTGAGGAAATCGGTATCAGCACAACTACACTTGCCACCTTTTATCGGCATCAGAAATCTCCACAAAGGACTTTGTTAGATAAAATCGAAACCTAGATCGAGAAAGAAAACCGGAAAAAAGATAATTCAGTTATCATTAGTGGTAGTAGTATGTAGCAATAATTTTTTAAGTAGCAGTAGTAGAACTATAAATAATGATAACAATAATAATGATGATAACTTAGATAATAGTGTGGAGTAGGGAAAGGAACTCTCATTTTACGGGTTAGGGCTCAAGATGCTTCCTCCCTTTAAACATCTGCTACTCCATACATTTTATAATTTCATTTTTTAGTTTTATCATGATAAATGAAAAAATTAGAAGGTCAACACAAAATAAAACTTTTTATTGTTTCATAAATATAAAATTTTTTAGATCAAATATTCTAAACATTATTAACTTTTGTGAATGAGCGTGTGGCGTACAATAAGTAAACTACTGTGACTAAGATAGATACCGATTAATATCTCTGTTGACATTTCCAAATTCCATTACTACCTGAGTGTATTCGGGATTAATTTCAAAAGGTTTATTTCGTGTTTCTTTAGACTTAATGTCCACTTTCACATCTGTATCACTTTCACTTGTAATCCATATGAATATTATCTCTAATCCATCCTCGAAGCCTGATATATTTGATTTTAAATTTGGCCAAATACTGGAGAAAAATATACCCTCAGAATCTGAATGACTACTCTTATCAAAGGTAATCTGTATTGGGGCAACATACAATTTATTATTTGTTTTTGAAATCAGCAAACCATCAATAGCCTCTTGGTTCCAACGGCGTGGTAAGTAAAGTATACATTTCCCTTCATTCGATGAAAATTTGATTTCTTTTTCATCACAAAAAAATTCAATATCGTTAGGTTTAAAATTTACACGATTCGCCATAATTCCATTCTTAAAAATACTAGCAATACACGCCTTCTCCATAAAAAATCCTTTAACCGATGGGTTGTTTTTGAACTTCTCTATGCAACTGATCCACTTTATATCCGTGAATATTTCCATTCGCTTCTTTTCATAGAGATAATCAGCCATGCAATCTCGTACCATCCCACAGACATAATGACATAGTTCATTTTCAATGTAGAAGAAACGATGATCAAAATCACTAACTCCATAGCCACTTGGAGGATATCCTTTTGTCAAGAACGATGACATCAATTTGACGTGACTGTAAATAAAGAAATCAGTTTTCATACAGTTTACTAATCACGAAGTAAACCAAAATACATACAATTCCTGATCCACTACTTTTTTTGAAAAGTTCGTCATCGGTTCTTTTATCTTTGATATTAATTGATTATTTAAATAGCATGATGCCTCTACAAAATTTTTATGACTAGATTCTAGCAAAACGTTTAAGAAGAGTGGAATTTTGCCGGTGATGTCTTCAATTTGATCCTTCTGCCATTTACTCATTGTTAGCAAAACGGAATTATGCTTCTTCCACCACTCTCCCATCTCCTCCTAAATTGAATATTACATTAATACGTAGAAGATTCACAACATATAGCGTCTTAATATTACCTCATCGAATCCTCCATAAAGTGTAATTTTCTTTTCATTAGTCTGTTTTTGCTTAAGATGTAATA